AAGGTCTGTTTTGTATTTTTCATCTGACACATATATTGTGTTCTTTTTAGTTCTTTATAATATACTTTATTGTACCCATACCAGTACCTTTTCTTCCCTTAGTACCAACAATACCAAAAAAATGTGTGCAAAGCAAGGAAAGGTAAATGTGTTCAGTAGAAGAATTTTTTTGCTCTAATTTGAAATTGAATATTGAACTCATCCTTTTGAAACAAATGTCAATTTTTACATTTGGGTTCATTTTATTTTTAGTTTCACTTACTACTTTGCTTAGACCAGAAATACCATCAAAATGAAATAAAATTCTTATTGTTTCAGGAAAAAGAAAAAAGCTTGTCTTCATGATGAATCTCTTTATTTAAAAAATCTTTCTTGCAGTCAGCTTTATCAGTAAGTTCTTATATCTGAGAAGATTATTTGAGTTAGCTGGCCAATTTCAAAATGATAGAATGAGATTTATTTATATATATATGTATTGAGTTTTCTTTGTTCCGTTGATTTATTGGTTCCCAATAATAATACTAATACTCACCATTCTTAGTCATTTTACTTTTGAGAAAAATAACAAAGAAGTTACTCACATGCATGAGTGTTTGCAAGAAAGAGCATGCCTTTGTTAAGTGCAGCTGATTATCAATATATGAAAGAGAAAGAATACATCCTGTGTATATATTACTATAATACTTAGATTAATCAGATGGATGGAGGCATGATTCGTTACTAAGAAATGGAAGAAAGAGAGGCTTTAAAAGTATTCTCATCTAAAATATGATAACCTCTCATATCTCTACTCCTATTCCATTACAATTTGCAATATTTTAAGCACTTTCATTTTGCATTCCTCTGCGAAAAGGTAGACTTCATTTTGTTGAACGTGGACACATAAAAGTTACTTGTCTGAGGCTGAGTTCTCACAATTCCCTTCGGCTGATCTGTGGCCTGGCCATCCCCAAAAGAGCAGTCTTGGTCTGCCTGCCGTTGGCCACCTGTTCCCTTCCTCCCTTGTGCCCTATATCAGCGCTCTTATGTTTGGCAAGAGACTTTGATTAGGGGACTGATTTTACTAAGACTGATTTTATTCATTTATTTTTCCTGAAGGAGCGTCAATGCCAAGTTGAATATAGCCTACAACGTTCACTCATTGCAAACAGGCAAACTGTGCTATACTGCAATGAGTATGGTCAGCAGATCAAGAGATGATTATCCCCTCTTTTTGGTACTGGTGAGGCTGCACCCGGAATACTGGTATTCAGTAATTGAGGCTCCTCAGCTCAAGAGCATATGGAGAAGTTGAGGCAGGTCTAGCAGAGGGCTGCCAAGATGGTCAGGGGACTAAAGCACATGGCCTACAAGAAGAGAGGATGAAGGAGCTGAGCTCATTTAATCCAGTGAAATGGAGGTGATCCAATAGCGGTCTACAGCTACTTGAAGAGGAGTTACAGAGATGATGGATCCAAATGCTTTTTGGCACTGCTGGATGATAACAAGGGAGAATGGTCACGAACTGCAGACTGGGAGATTCAAGTTGGACGTTAGGCAGCTGCTGCAGCACAGGAGCGGGTTGCCCAGCGAGGCTGTGGCATCCCCATCCTTAGTGGGTTTCAAGATCTCACTCTCAAAGCCCTGGCTAATCTGAGCTTTGTTGGCAGCAGCCTGGCTTTGAGTGGGAGGTTGGACTAGATGACCTTCAGAGGTCCCATCCAATGAAAATGTTTATGTTACTTTCAATGTTGTCGTGAAGCCATAGTCTAAGTCCAAGATCTCTTACAATACAAAGACAAAAGTGGGTGCTTAAAAAAGTTATTTGTCTCATAACGTAGTTTTCTAAAGCAGGTTAGATGGCTGCTTCATTTCATTGACTAACAAATCTTGAAAGACTACATTGCTTTAGTACTATTTATGCTGGAACACCTAACCTTAGGCTATAGGCATCCCACGCTCAGTAATGATGTTTCACCTGATGGAGCTGCAGCTTTTTACACTGTTGTAGTATTCTTGACTGCTGTCAGATGGCCCCAGAACAGACACTTAAATTTAAGACTGAAAGGAAAAGTTTCAAATTAATACAGGTGTTTAGTATCGAGTTCTCTCCCAGAGAAAACTTTCCTACCAAGTTACAGGAACTTCCTTCCAGAGAAAAAAGTTGCAGCAAGTTTCTTACAGGATTTTGAGATTTTTGTATTTATGTATAATGTAAATCTAAAAATAAAATTTGCATGTTATGCATGCTTTATATGACTTAGGGTTGGAAACATGGACATGCAATCTCTCAACAGTCACCATAGAGTGTGCAGATCAAAATAGACTTAATTATTTCCCACATCGTGTACACATATATCTTTTCCTGCCATTCACATTAGCAACACCAGCGTGGAAATGAATTTTCTGTTTTCTCATCCTTTGGTGTAGCTATTGTCACTGAGCTTTTAAATGCGCGCGCACACACACCCACACACACACTGGGAGGCTGCGTGGGAATCAATACTCCATCCAGCCTCCCTGTCATGTTGTCCACATGGCTAGTAGAAGTAGTTGTGTTTTTATTTGTGGCTCGACCTGTATGCATCAAGCACAACAGGAAGGTATCTAGTCCTCCCGCACAGCAGCAGGCTGAAATGGGGGAGATCTTTAGACATAGGCTTACAGGTGAATCATCCACATCCACAGAGTCTGCTTCTTACCAACATAGAAAAGGGACTGCTGTCAGTTTGAAATGATTTCCAGCCTCAGAAAGGCCTAAATTGATGAATTAAAACAAAATCTCCCACCAGCTTTCCCCAGGTGTGCTGAGGTAGGGGAAGAAGCACCTGGCCTGCCCTTAAACAGCGACTCTTAAACACACACCTGAAAGACATCCAGAAGAGCAGTTGTCAGTCGGGGACAGCTCAGAGCGCTTGCTAGCTTTTTGATGTTTTTCGGGCAGCACTTGTAGCTGTGAGCCTTCATTTTCAGCTCATGCTAGTAGATTAGCTATCCTGCTGCAGATTTGCAGCAGTTCTTTGGCAATATTAGCACTGAGGTATGTTAGCAGCGGGGAAAAGAGGGAAGCCGATAATTTGTTTTGATGAGCTGGGGGGGCCTTTGCAAGATGGTGGTGAGAGCTGACAAAAACGTTAGGCAGACTCTCTGGATCGTGACAAACCAGGGAAGCAGTTGTTAGCAGGACTCAGAGGCTCAGCAAAAAGTCGGAAGTTCAGAAACCACGTCTGCAGCCTGGTCTTCCTTATCAATCAGGATAATAAACTGTGCGCAGGCCGGCAGGCCCTCATGGTAAAACCGCACAAAGTCTTTGAATTACAAGTGAAAAAAAAGTCTTCTGAGCTGCTTGCTCTGCATCACTTCAGATCATGGCAAGCACATTTTTCATCCAGTAGTGACCCAGAAACAAGCCTGTGTTATCTGAGACCGGACTTCTTGCGCTTTTCATGGGTAGGGTTTTCCAAGCTGCCCGCTGGCGTGTTGTGTTCAGTTTGTCGGGTCCGCTGGGCGGTAGTGAGTCTATCAATCAGTAGACTGTTCAACCACATGTTTCACAGTCCTAATCTGCATGGAAATTAATTACTCTTTTTTTTTTTTAATGCAACTTTCCCCCTTTTAAAAATTGTGATCTATCTATCACAAGCAAAGTTGACTGAATAAAAATATAACTTTTCTCTTTCATTTCCATCATGAACACCACAACCCTTGACGGTATTAAAAAAAAAAAATTAACAGTTCTAATATATATGAAAGCTGTAGGGTGAAGTACCTGTAACAAAAGCGGGTTACTCTGAGACAGCCTCTCATTTGTATCAAGAAAATACTTCTGTATAATTGACAATATCATAGAGGCATTTACGAAAGTCAGTCATCTCAGTGTCTGTATTTCGTATTCTATGCTTTGGGTTTTTTTTTCCCTTAAAGTCAAGAGTACAGCTAAAGTCCAGTCTTCTGTTTGCCATTCAAAGCCAGGGATAATTTCAGCAGGCTTTTGAATTGAACAATGTGTATCTCATCGGGCATTTTAAACTGTTACTATTTTTATGTTGAAGTTTTATAAAAATGCATACATACGTGTGTGTGTGTGTACATATATATACATTCTTTAGCATGCTCCTTGCTGTTAGAGATGTTGTTTTTCAGCTGAGAGTTAAAGTGGAGGTTCTGGAGGAGATTTAAGAATATACTGTGCTATCTTGTTCTAGTAGCACTAGTTCCAGTATATCAGAATTATCTGCCACTGATTATATTCCCTGGGATTTCAGCTGATTGCAGTGTTTTGGTCCTGAACAAAAGCATTGATCTACAGCTTTACAGCAACACCTGAAGCAGCTCTATGCCAATGGAGGGATGCTGGCATGTATTTGCTGTGTGTGTATAAATTTGTACGTTATGCAAAATAATTTTTAAGATAGCCAACTTCCAAATAGTCCTATGTGAAGAAAATGATAATTGAACATGTAGAGACCCTGTAGTTATTATGAAGGAGTTTTATTTCCTTCTTTTCTACAGCTGAATATTTTGCAGAGTAGAACAGCACATTTACATCGACTGTTTGACTGACTTCACTTGCCTGGGAGGACTTGAAAGTCTTAGGAGAAAGGAGTATAAAAACTCTGTCATTACTGTTTGCTACCTCCAATAATATGCTTAAACTTTTTATTTGAGTAACTGCTTCCACTGAGTTATTGTACATCTACAAATACAAAAAAGTCATATGTGGAAGCAAAAAGTCCTGCTATCTGAATGCATTCAGTTGGAGTCTCTGGAGCTTATAGTTGCATAAATGAAGCCATACGTTTATATAATTATCTTTTAAAATTCTTCTTGTAATTTTTTTTGAAAGTTAATTTGCAGCTATTAAAAAGCAGGTGTGCTGTAATGAAAATAGAATTGCATTTTTCGTGCTAAGTTTGTATTGTATCAGATTTGTTACATTTGGATATAATTACAACTTCCTAACTCTAGAGCACACAGATCTTAAAATCAAGAAATAATAATTAATCTTTTTTCCTTTGCAGAGTCACAGTGTACACTCTGTGGGGAGCCTGAAGGTGAGCATATTTTCCTGTCATATTTTTCAAAGCAGCTAGTGGTGAGTGCTTGACTCAAATGATACATGTGTACAATAGATGGGAAATGGTATCAGAATGATGCTAACCAATGAAAGACATTCTTTCCTATGTTAGATACCAAAAATGAATTGAATTAAGCTAAGTAAAGCACAGTACATGCTCCAGGCAGAAAGAAATGTCTTAAAGGACAAATATTCCATTAGAGCAAAAGTAGAAGTATTTATATCTTATTCTTTTGTATGTTTGTCAAAATAATTTGGGGTAAGAGACAGTGGGAAGAGACATTTAAGGACATCATTTTGAGAATGGAAAATGAAGTGACTGGACATAGAAGGGAGATGAGAAAATGTTTTTGTACGTGATATGACTTACAGAGTACTGAGAGAGGCTAACACTTTTCAGCAGGTGAAGTGAATAAATACTACTTTTGAAATAAGGATAATTAAGCAATAACTGTAATGCAGTGCAAATATGTGCTCAAATTAAGGTGTTTGGTGGTTTTTTTTTTTAAGTGAATAATTAAATGCCAAGGTGAGACCCACAATTTACCTAAATAAATGTTGAAGCAACGCTACGATTATGATTTTTGAAGCAGGCTGTTATGGAAGAAAATCTTTCTCTCGTGTGCTTTTTTTTTTTTTTTTCTTAACAAAATTGGTACTGTTATAAAGAAAATGAAAAAAAAAACTGGCCGTAGTTTTCAGACCAACCATCTGGAGTCTTTCTAAGAAAAGTAATCCAAAGTAGCAAATGTAACTTTGTTGGAGCAAAGTATATTCATTAAAAAAAATATAGATTCTAAGTTGCTCCCAAAGAGGTTAGTCTGAATACCTTGAATGGTTTCTGAAACACAAATTAAACTTGAAGCATTTTTATAAATTTAGGAGAGAGAAGTTGGCAAGAGATGAAGCCTGAAAGTAATAGGCTTTGAGACCAGCAACTAATGAAATAGCTCAGTAAATTAAACATCAATTAGCTACTTCTCCCTTGTTATCTGCTGACAAATAATTGTTTTAGAGGTTTGTTTTGACTTTTCCTTCCTTTTATAAACAGTCATTTCTTGATTAGTTCTTTTTCATTGTCCTTTACTTGATAAACTTTATAATAGCACAGATAAACATATAAAAAGGAAAAATAAGACGGGTGTTTGTTTGCCTTGCATGAGATACTCTTTTCATAATAGAATTACCCAACTATAAAGTTATACATTGCATTATAACTGTTTTATTACCTTATATCTGCTTTATAACAACAATGCCCTCTCTTTTCATTACCACTCTTTCATGCCTACTCAACTTTGCAAACTTGACTAAATATACATGAATTTTCTTAAAAAGAGAATTTCAAAAAAGTTTTGATAATAAATTTAAGAGTTATGTGACTAAAAGCCCACTATCGAAACACAGTTATATGTATTTCTGTAGGAACAGTCCTCAAGAGCATAAGGGCTGAGTCAAAATCAATTCCTACAAAAGTTTGTCTCCTCGATCACCAGACTTTCTTCTCAAACATAGTATTACTTGAATGCTAATTGTTAATTTTCAGCTTCCATTTTACACCATTGACATTAATTTCAACTTAGACTAATGGAAAGACCTACAATCTTAATGATTTTTCCTTGATAGGTTGGCATAATTTTAGATTTAATGCTGAACATATACAGAAGTTTTTTCTGTGATAAAAGTATGGTGTACTACTTCACTTTGTGGTGAAGAAGTAGCTGCTCAGTAGATATGATTTCAATTTTTAGAAGACTGTTCTACAAGCAGCTTTATACCTTTGCTCTGTAAATGGAAAGCAAACAAAAACATCCAACCCATACCTCAAAAGATGAAATTTTCCGTGATTAAATTACTTAGAAAACTAAGCGAAGAATTCAAAAATCACACTTTTGCTCTTTTTGATAGAAATTTTTCACTTTTCTCTATAGTCTTCTTCAGAAATTTGAGATATTCTAGGACTTTTAGTTCGAATTTTTGATATCTTAGGCAAATTCAAAGAATTTCAGTTAATCATAGGTACCATTTGCCTCCATATTCCTTTTTCTTTTGCTCCTCCTTTTTAGAAAAAATCAAAATTAGTACATTGAGATGAATTTGCAAACTATTAATTGCAGGACAGATATGCTGTGATGTAGGCCCCTCTATTAATTTCCAGAGTGGTAAGCAGAGACTCATCCATGAAATAGTATGTAGATCTGGCGTAAGCTCCCTGACTTGGGAGAGGGGAAGATAGGACATCAGCTCTTACCACTTCTGAACCCCTCTGAAGCTCCTGCTGATTGCCTGATTGAATGAAGAAAGCCATTTATTAATTAACCTCCAAACAGCTAGGGGTAAGTTTCTGAATGATGCCTATACATGTTATAAAAAAGTTGGCAGAGCAGCAGCTCTTTGTGGACTACAAATTCTGATTGTTAAATTGGTCCACCCCAGTCTCCCCCCAGCTGCCTTGTGATGTTTTATCCTTTTTCTCGCCATCAGTCCCCTTTCAAAACCAGTCAGTCAGTCCTGGGTCAGGGTAGAATAGGGAATGACTGTGTAAAACAGAGCTCTTCTTTATGGCCACTTTGCAAAGTTTCTAGCAGCTAGTCCTGTGCTTCAGGAAGCAAGCGTGTTTTCCACTCGCGCATTGTTGCTTGTTCGGGAGATAGTGTGGATGTGTATTTTACAGAGTGAAAAAATATCAGATATAGGAGGGAGATATAAATTGCCAGAGCTCACATTTCATGTTTCAGTCTTGCATATGTTTTGCTTGTGTAATCTGTCGATCAGTAAATAAACGTGTGTCCTGTTTTCCCTTTTGCAGCCAGTCTAAAGAGAATGAGCTGGACAGCACTCAGGTCTCTGAGAAGCTGTCTTTAGTCTGAGCTGCAAAGGCTCCAGTGTTTGGCTTTAAAAATCATTGGCTTGATCTATGTTATTGGCAAGGATGTTAGCTGCCCTGACTGTCACCGCAACATGCTTGAAGACCAAGAGGTATGTTTTATATTGGGAGGAAATTAAAGTTGCAGAAGACAGAGCCATGGGTCTAACAAATCCCATTAGTGCAGCTGCTCCAGGCTGCTCCAGCTTCTGGGAATGCAGGCGCACAGTGAAGTGTTTTCGGAGAGATGACAGCAGGCTTCTTTGCGGATGTAATCTGCAGCTGGCAGATTATGTTGTTGTGGTAAACACTGGGTTTTGTTCCTGCTCTGCTTTTAAGTAAGGATACCACGTTACAGACGTGTCTGACTGAGTCTTTGTGACAGCCCCCATGCTCTGTTAGGTCTGCTGTAGTCGTGAGGTGCTTCAGAGACAGTTACTCTCATTAATCCTCAGGCAGATGTTGTTTCTCCTCTTCCCAACTCCTGTCAGTTATTCACAGAAGTTCTTGAAAGGATTATATTCACTTGTTTTTATAATTTTGCTAAGCAGATAATTTGGTGACAGTTAAGATTTCAGTAGATCACACTGTCCTCTCAAAGCCTATGGGAATGGAAGTTTCTCTTCCAGAATATATATATTCTTCACAAGTCCAATAGTGACTTACAGTTTCTGTTCATGGCTTCTTGCTTCAATATTTTTTGATTTTTTGTTTCTTTCCTTCCTAAAGATATATGGGGCAGTCCTGTGCAGTACACACACTTTCCAACTTCTTAATAAAAGGTCCTCTCCATATATTCTCTGATAGTACAAGCTTTATATGGACACACAGATCTGGAAAATGTGATGTTAAAGAAGAATGTCATTGAATGAGGTCCAAGTGCAGTTTGAAAAAAATGGATACAAGGTCTAGCTCTTTCTAATGTTTTAGTCCATGACCTGTTTCAACATAAGAAGATAGTGGTAATGATACAGCGTGTCTCAGGAAGTCCTTTAGCAGTCATTGGAAGCTAGGGCTATGGATTACTGGTTCCAGGTAAAGCATCCTTGTCTACTCTGCCTCTGCTTAGACACTTGTCCCTAAGAATAAGGAGAGCATGCAAAAATGCTTTTCTCCAAGTATCTGCTATTGGCTTTTATGGAGGACAGGACACTGGGAGCATTGGCCTTTGATCTGATCTTCTGTGGATGTTTTTATGAGCTTAGGTTCTTATCAGTTTGAGATAAAAATTAGTGGCTATGTGTGAAATTTTATTTGCTTGGATAGCCATGGGAGAGAAAACTCAGATTAACTTTGCTGCTGTAGATATAAGCATTCTCCCATGTTACTGTCATGCTAATGGCAATTTCCAATTCATTTAGGAGTATTCCATTAAAAAAAAAAAGAAATTCTCTCTGTAGAAACTCCTGACATGTTATGAGAGTGGTAGAATACTTTAAGTAATTATGCAAACACTATGGAGGAGGTAGTAGGTAGTTTTACCTATTGTTCATTCTTTATCTGGTATCTCTTGATTCTGAGGTCTGTTTACAGACTCTGTAATATGCATATCTTCTTCTACCAGAGATATTATGTGGCAACCATCCTCTCAGTTCCACAGCGCTTAGTAATTAGGTCTGGCTCTCTATGCATTGTAAAAGATACTGATATACACAAAGGCTATGAGTAACAATACTTCTGTGCTGTACTGAGATCTATATTAATCTTAATAGCATTGAAAGAAGACTCAAGTTTTATTATGAACCGTTCAATGAAGACCTTTAATCAGGGTCTTGTATAAAGAAAACAAACAAATATTAATGTTTATAAGGAACAAGACGGAGAATACAATACAGTACATTAAAACGCCGCTTGGGCGTATTAGAAATACCCTAGTCTGAAATACTGTGTTGAATCTTCACTTCTCTCCCTCAGCAGAAAAGAATACAGCAAAGAGATTAGGGATCTAGAAATATGCGATAAATATGCCAAGATATGTGAGGAACAATCCCAGATGAATAAGCAATGAGGTGGTTTGCTCCATGCAATTTAGAGAAGGTCCCAACAAAAGAAAACAAAATGTACCTCCTGTACATCCATAATACTGTAATAAATCGTGCACACCCATCTATCCA